TAGCAAAACATGTGTGAATCTTTTTGCGAGAATGTGTAACATAGTGTTCAAAAGGGTCATATTGGCTGATTCCGTGGCTGACGGAGGGCAATAGATGACACCAATCTAACAGTCATCGTGTTTGGACAGTCTCAGTCTCCACCACAGAGTGTCAGGAATCGAAACTGGAGGATGGATTTGCTCGCAATCGAGGTCTTTACGATAATAGAGTAGAACACCACCGTCACGGGTAGGACGATCGCATCTAAGCAGAGACATTTCTGGTAAGGACAATTCGGAGTCAGAGATTATCCAGAGGTTACATAGATGCAGGCGTTGCTGGTCAGGAGATAAAGGTCTCTAAATTATCGCCCCTGATGGACGTGTCTGAATAACACTACCACCACCTGACTTACCCCATTTTATGTGTTGTATGACAGTCCCTGGATTGGGCACTTCCCACTTCCTGAAAATTATATTATCGTGAATTTAATAAAAGATCTAACCCACAATATTATATTATAGTATATTACAGAATCATAGCAAGGATTCTTTCAGGTAAGTTTACTTGGAATCGACTCAGTGACATGTAACTAAAGTTTACGCTGCCCGATAGCTAGTTTTTCCATTTCTATAGTTTCATCGCGCTCATGAATACCGTGTGTGATTAGCAATACACACTCGTGTGGTATGCATGCATCGTGTTGTTTTTTTGGCTTGAGAGACGTCCGAACGCAAAAAAATATGCGATACGGCAAGCTAATACAACAACCGCAAATAAGATAACCGAGGATCGCATGTACATACAATACACAACAGGACGGATAATGCAGAGGTTAAAACAGAGCGTCGAGTGGTCACGGTCGAGAAACGACACGTGTCAGCTCCTGATAGGCTGCGATGGCTCCGGCATGCATGCCTCTGGGGATGATTACTCGGTATGCGGTGCTTGTCCAGTAAGTTGGTGGCTCGAAGACAAGCATGAATGGTCAGATGGAACAAAATTCACTTATCCGATAATCTGGATATGACTGCGAACGGGAAGAGCCAAAAAATCTGAACACTTACCTCAAGTATTATAATTCACTTCAAGTTTTATGTTATTGTTTGGCTAACGCTGACAACTTATCATCTACTATTCAGCTCTTCTTCGTCAGTGGACTTGATCCTGTTTCAGATGGCAGAAACCGAAGTAAGGACATGCACTGGGCACGAGTTCTCGAGAGATTGGAGCTGAGTTCACACGATCAACCAGATCTCGAGATGCAATCTTCCAATTAAAAGATGCATACATTTTTATCAAACACATGTGACCAATGAACAGCAGGCAGGATACATATAACACCAATATTTATCGATAACGTGCCAAAACAACCATGGGTTAACGGCAAATCTAGGTACAAAGTGGGAAAACAAAACCATCAGCTTGGGAGAATAACAAATTCTTTGTTTGTTTACTGCACACCATTTTGATGTTTTTTCGTTTTTGTGTATTTCGGGGATTGCACACATTAAAGGATGCGTTCATGCCACTGATGTCCGTTAGATGCCAATCCCGCAGTGTCTCCAGCCAAAGACAATCCGAATCTTTGGGGCCCAGACGAAGAACCGAGAAACCCCCACGGAAGCCAGATCCAAGCACAGTCTCGTTAACCCTCTGCGCCACGTCATAGCCTGCCCACCTCGCTGGTTCTTCCAGCCTGGACCGATGTCTGCGAACAGTGCACGGTTTGGCAGACGTTGCTCAGGCACTCGTACGACTTGCCCTAGTCATCTAAG